TATTATTATCAGCACAATATTCAGCAGTTAACATAAATCACATAGTAGTTTCACTGCAACTGCCATAAGTAGCAGCTGTAGCAATAGTAATGGGTTCCTTGGGTTTTTGTTGCTGCGGCTGTCTATCATACTCATATATTCTACCAGGAACATGCTGTTCATCATATTCTTGTGGATTCTCCATACGATCAGCAATCCAATCATCATTATTACCAACTAATGGCTGATGGTTTTCTTCTTGATTTCTGTTAGCCACTGGATTATTTCTTTTATGATAACGATGACATGATTTTATCATTTTGTATACCTGATAAATTATATAAGCTGGTATAATAATAAAAAATAAAAGACCATTGACAATTGGTATTACTACAAGAACCACAATTACTATGTAATCTTGCTGACTAGTCAACGTTGTAAGTAAAAAAGAGATGACACTATTTGTACATCCAAGGGCCATAGTTACAAACATGACTAAAAATTCAGCAAAATTATGAATATTTCTTTGAAAAGGGCGAAAGCGAATGATAACTATTACTGCTAGTAAGAAGGAACAGAAAGCTTGAGAAATTGGTAGTGAAAATATGAAATAATATCCATAAATGAATTGACTTGTAATGATTATTCTTGCCAGTAGGTATAGTCCAGCCATGAAACGATAATCATAAGTATTCTCAGTTCCATTCTTATAAGGACCAGTAAACACATCACCCAGTGATATCAGTAGCTGTTTCCTCAAATGTAAACAATCCAATAACTTATGAAACCATTTGAATGGATAAAGGAGTATATAAAGTGTTGGTAGAACAATCAGAAACAATAACACTAAGATTGCAAACAAACCAGCAACAGCATGAAAATCATGAAAGTATTCTTGCTTTAAATCATAATAAAATTTATCAGAGTTTGTCAATGAAACATTGCTTGCATCGAAGCTAAGTATTTTAAAGGAAGTGGCAGCTAATCGAGTGAAGCAGATTATATATATTGATGCTAGAGAGTGGGTAAAAGATGGTTCAATGCCAGTCATACTCCAGAAACGAGCCATGCAATGATGAAATGGTCTAGTAATAAATACTACACACTTGAAACCTTTATCATACAATGTTATCCAAACATAGAGTAAGAGGAGGAGGAGCAGTGGATAGAATCCTATCACATACCAAAAGGAAATTACTCCTAATGGTGGTGTATTAGGTGATATACACATAACATAATTATAAACAAATGGAGTGAAATCTAAATTAAATATATTGCATGGTATTTTAGTCAGTGAATACAAGTAATATTCATAGTAATCATA